TAGTTTGCAGAATTGTGAAAAATAAATCAATGCTGTAGATGGCAAATTTGTTTAAACAACATACACTGCAACAAATCATATGATACAGACAAGCACATCCTGTATATGAGGCTTGCTAAGATGTGTAACAAACATTCAACATCAAACAATTTAGTTATTGTCACATAAAAGAACACATAATAGAGTAAAACCTTATATGAATATCATATCTGTAAAGAATTCAGATATTCAAGTACTTCAGCAAGACATAAAAGAACACATAGTGGAGACAAACTTTATAATCAATCTCATGTTTTTCATTAACCAGGGATGGATCCAGCATGATCTGGTAGGGGAGAGTTGCTCTACTAGCTCTGCATGGTGCCGAGTTGTGTCGGTCATGTGTGCCGCCCACCCATCAACCTGTTTCACTACTGCAAAGTCTTGCTTGACTACTGTATTTGAATTGTAATTGTTGTTCACAGTTCGCTTATCATCATGTTATTACTCAAATTACTGTATCTTATTGTGCCTCTAATAATTTTTTGCTTTATCATGAAAAATAACACCCACCCTCTGGCCAGGGCTAGGGGGTGCACCCCCCAGTAAAGCCATCCCTGTCATTAACAGTAGGGTGTAATGGACCATTAGCCATCCCCTTTAATTTGTTTCTTTAGTTGGGAGAGGAGTTCTAAGGCCCTTCATAATTTTTGAAGATTACATTACATAATACAATATTAATTTTACTCATTGCAAACAGTAAGTTACAAATGAGCTTTGTATTCCGTAGAATACAAAGTATTTAACTATTTCGGGGTAAAGTTAGATTTTAAGTTGTTTTTAATAAGTTAAAGCTGATCACATAATCAATCTATTTTTTGGGTCACTTAAGGATATACCCTGCAAAAATAGCACTTTCCTTTTATTTTACAACTTGAAATTCACATTCTATTAGACACTAGGGGCATATGGGGTACTCATTTTCCAGAATCTTAATTATGGGTAGGATGAAATCTCAGTGTTCCCTGTGAAGGGCCCCCTTGACCCAGGGCCATCCTTAGGGATTCTTCAGGGGGGTGTAAGGTCATTTCAAACAATTGAAGAACAGGGCCGCCGAGAGGTTGACGGGAGCTCAGACGAAATAATATTAATTAATTATTATTTATTATTAATTTATTTATAATAATTATTATTAATTTAATTAATTAATTAATTATTAATTTAATTTATTAATTAAATTAATTATTTAAATTAAAATTTCCAAACACTGCATAAAGGTTAGCCCAGGGACCTTCCTTGACAAGGCACACCCCCTGGGCCCCTGGCTCTTGCTAGGCACAGCCCTTAGGAGTTATGCCACTGAGGAGTGAACATCTGACCATTATTCCAGCCAGCTTGCTGTACTACTTTCTATTTACTTGAGCTAGATAAAATATCATAGTGGATAAAGTATCATAGTAGAAGAGCTAATTCATTCAGCTTACTTGAGCTAGATAAAATATCATAGTAGAAGAGCTAATTCAATCATAAAATGTTGAGTTCATAAACCATGGTATGCAGGGCAAAGGTACTGAAACGTCTTGTGGCAAGGGTTGACCAGAGGGTGGGTACAATTGCATCTGACTGATTTCCCAATGAGTATGGAATACTCAGGATTACCAAGTTAATTGGTCTTGTGGAATTTTATGTGTATTATGTCTATAATACCAATGGAGAAAGTGCATTACCACTTGCAATCTACAGCATTGATTTATTTTTCACAATTCTGCAAACTATTAATGGCAGCTGGCAATGTCACATGTAACACAAGGCTGTCAGAAGCGGGTGCTTGAGCCCCCTAAAATTTCCATTTGTATAAGCAAAACACACAAAATAACTAGAAAAGTGCAAAAGCAATTAAAATTTATTCAGATATATTCTTGAGTCCCCCCAATATTGATTTACTTCCGATGGCCTTGTAACATCCTGCCCAGATTTTTTTTAATTCTATAACGCCCTGTATACAAGGTTAGCACCCTACTGAATAACTTGCACACCTGACACTGTGCCAGTTGACACCTGACAATGTGCCAGTTGAAAGGTAAGCATGAGCTACTAAGTGTGTTAGCTTATTTAGGTCATGGAACAAGACAATTACAAAAGTAGTAAAAGAGGACACATTAGTTGTGAATATGTTTCTGTTTTGCTATCATCACGATAATGTTCACCCAGCATGAAATGAAAAGGTAGTGCACAACCTGTGCAGAGTCCATTTTGCATGTTGACACACAATTTGGCATTAAAATTGTATATTGTTGATTGCTAGGGGAACAGGTGAGGACTCTGAACCCGGCATTGCTTGACGAGTAAGATACTTCCCAATTACACATACCACATGAAATATCTAAGGTTACAAGGTGGCAATATATTTGTAATACTAATTATATACAATATCTCAAATGCTCAGATGTATGGTAAATTAAATTTGAAGTGCCCCCCCCCCCTTTAGATTTTTACACTCCCATGTTGGCCAAGGGTGTTTACCTCCGTCAACCCCCCTCCCCTCCCCCTATAAACCCAACTGTATGTTGGGATGGATTTACTGGGGGGGGGGTGCACCTCCCTAGCCCTGGCCAGGGGGGGGGGAGTGCTATTTTTCATGATAAAACAAAAAATATTATAGAGACAAAATGAGATACAGTAATTTGAGTGATATCGATAACATGATAAGAAGCAAACTGTGAACAACAATTACAATTCAAATACAGTAGTCAAGCAAGACTTGACCTGTAAGTTGATGGGCGGGTGGCATGCATGACCAACATAACTTGGCATTAGAGCTGGCAGATCAAACCCCCCCCTTCTACCAGATCATGCTGGATCCATCCCTGCCACCATGACTGTTAGTGTTGGTGCTAATTAAACAGTGCAATCTGCAATCTTGAACGGTCTGTGCCAGGCTAGATAGAGACGATAACAAAATAACTATATATAACTTAGTACCTGAAAAATTCAAACAGAACTTCACTCGAAAAGTCAATAATTTGTACATTCCGCATGGATTTTCAAGCTCTGTGGATTATGGAATATAAACTAGGCTGTTATTACAATTTTCAAAATTGAAGTTGAAAGTGTCAAAAATTTCTTATCTTGGCCATCTATTTTTTACTTTTAAAGCATAATTCACTGAAACATATAGATATTAATTTAAACTATGTTTGAGAAAAATTCTGTTATAAAATCTTTTTTCAGATTAATCAGGTAAAGAGTAAGATACCTGGCATATCAGAATATAAGTTCTACCAACCAAAAAGAATAAAAAGATAAAAAAACAACAATAGAAATTATAGAATATAAACTCCATTTAAACCATAATTTAAACTCCACTCCTTAGCTTGGCGCCATATTGAATTTCGCGGTCGCGCTGGTAAAGGCCTGGGGACTAGGTGCTCTACCGTATCTGAAATAGCCTTCACCACTTGCCGAAGAGCATGCATAAGCATAAATTATGAAATAAATTAATGAGGTTGATTTAATAATACTGTATTTTTGTTGATTTTAAAATGTTTAGCGAGCAAACATTATGTTACAATCGTGGTTGGGTCAAACAATATGTGGAAAGCAAAAGTAGCGAAGCTAAAGAGATTAAAATTGGATTTAGTGCGTATATTTGAAAAAAATTACCACCAAATATGGTATCCCCCCCCCCGTTCACAACACTTGTGACGTCATTTACATACGGGACTTCTGGGGCGGGTTTTGGCGGGAAAATCTGTAATGTTTGGAGAAGACAAGATGGCGCCGGTTACCTCCTGTCATATCAAAGGGCATTTTTGTTCACAAATACCCGCTTATTTTACGTTATAGCGACTGGTTAGTTTTGGAAATTATAACTCAATGGACGGGGAAAACGATTCTGTATTAAAGAGAAAAAGATGTGCAGTTATTGTGATGTTATTTGTTGTGAAAGACGGCCCGAAATTTCGCTACATCGCAGTACTGGTTTATAAAACATTTACAAGCAACAGCAATTGAACTATATGACAAAGAAACCAATATATACAAGCTAATCAATTTCTTCTGTTTAAAGGTCAGTTTAATTTTTAATAATTAGTTCATTTAGTTGTATATTAATACGAAGTACTGGAACAGTACGTAGTTTGATGCCGAGTTTGATGCCGAGTTTGATTTGCTATTTGTACTGTATACGTAGTCGGAATATTTAAGATAAGGTATGGATAAACAGACCCCAACCCCTTTTCTAACACTAACCAATAAATGTGTAATGAACTATTTGAGAATTAAAAAGGTCAGGGGGGAAATTTAAAAATATTGTAAGAAACATTTCTACAGGGCTGTTTTATATGGAAAAGCAGGGTTGGCCCTCTTCGCAGGATGAATTTTGCTTGCGTTTAATATACAAGGAAATTTTATCCTGCTTGCTGGGCTAGAAATTGTTTACAATGCACTCAATTGGCTTTCCCGGGACAACTTTCAAAATTAATTTTTGCTTCAAAACTCACTATTTTGTAAACATTGAAGGGTCTCTGTAAGGAACGAAATTAACCCAAACCGGAAACAATCGAAACCGGAAATTCCCACCTAATTTCCTGCATAAACAAATATAAATTATATTGTTGATGCTAGATCACTGGCATGTCATTTAGATAAATATCCTCCGAATGTCATAAGTCACAAGGTTGTATACTATTTAACTGCTAACAATTTTGTAAATTATTCAATAATCTTATTGCATCTTCCTGAACAATGCTGGTTTTGTTTGACAAAAACAATATTGCATTCACTTTCTCATTTGACATCCGATATGGCTTCCACTAAAATGGCACGCTTCGTGATTTAAAAAAAAAATACATGCTCATTTATATGTTTCCAAATCCCAATTTATCTGACTGCATTTTAATGGTTCAAATATTCAGAACTTTGTTCTTTCAATCACAAGTAGTACAAGTATTATTGCATTCAATGGTAGTATTTTATTCGGCTTTATATGTGTATTTTGTATGTGTATTTTTAATATTTGCAGGGCTCAATATAACAGCCGATAGGTCTCCGGATTTTGACCGGTCAACTTGATTTTAGCTCGGTCAAAATCTGTTTTCGACCGGTCACTAATACTTGTGCACTAACAGTGAAAAAAAGTTATAAGAAATTTGTCTTGAGACAACTTTTATTGCTTTGTCATGTTTTAAACGCTTAGTTAAGACGTTAGCAGTCCCTATATATAAAGGTGAACAGGTAACGTTATCGTCGTTACCAGAGTTGTTTGCCGATCTGATTGTCGAGGTTTCAGTTTTGCCGCTGAAAATCCTGAGGGATTTTGTGTCGTGCGACTACTTTCGCAGCTACCTTCTTTACATTTTCCAACAAGAAAATTTTCTTCT